CCATTGGCCATCAGTGTATCACATGCCTCATATAACTGCAGGGATGGTCTGCAGATATGTCTAGTAAAACACACAAAAAAGAAAACAAACATTTGAATGGACACAGCATTTTCTCTACTTCAGATGTGCAGGTAGGAGAATTTGGGAGACAGGAATGGGAGACTGAATCTCAGAAGAGTGAACCAGAGAAAAGATTAAAAAATTATCATGATATCAATAATCGTTGGTGTCAGAATGAGACACTTTGGAAGGATCATACACTGATAAAAGAGGAATGAGATTAGAACCCAAGAGAATGTATGTGTAAATGTGGTCAGAGGAGAAAGAAAGAGAGAGGAAACAGCCAGAGGAGGGAGAGTTCAACTGGATAAGAACATCTTGTGCTTGAAAGAAGCAAGTGTATGTCAGACTTTACAGAAAGGCAAATTACATAAAGATAGTGGGCTTCTTGGCAACAAGGTCATTGGTAGCTTTAATGCAAGCAGCGTCAGTAACATTTGGAAGCAGAAAACAATACTTGGGGGTTGAGGAGAAAGTGGAAAGTGAGAAACACAGTTATCAAACTTCTATTTCAATTTCCTAAAATTCTTTGCTTTGAAGGAAAGGAGAGAGAAGGCAATAAGAAAGAAAAAAAAAGGCATATTGATAACTCTGCACTGTTTCCTGGTTTTGTTAGTCCATGATCCTTTTTTTTTTTTTTGGAAAGATTTTTGCTATAGGGCACGTGTGCTCACCAGAAAGAGACAGAGACAGAAAGTGAGAGATCACTCCCCAAGCGGTTGGCCATGCTGCAATCCCTTCTCCTCCACTGTCCTCTCAGGATCTTGGGCATGCACGCACATGAGCCTGACGTGAGTTCAAGCCACTGGGTCCAGGACCCAAACCGTGGTTGGCTACATGGGAGTCCAGCAACATAGCCATTACTCCAACTACTGGTCCCAGTTAGTAATACTTTATTACCTAACAGATTCTAATCAATAAAAACATACTGGGTTATTATAATTCCAATAGAAAATAATATATTGCTTTATGCAGACTGGAACTTCGATACCAAGAGTTTTGAATTACTGATTACAACTTGACAACCTTCTTACTATTTATGTTGACTTAAACTCCCTAGTTCGAGAACCCATGTTCTCCATTGAATCACTCAAACATGTGGCAGTTATGCATTTTCATAATTAAATTTGATAGGGGGAAGACTTAGGGTTTGAAGTCTTAGGGTTTGTCTAGTATTGGTCAGGATTAGAATAAGAAAAACACAATACATGGGAAAAGGAAGAAAACCTCAAGAAAGTTTATGTTTGCTAACAAAATAATGCTATGTGGAATGTCTATAGAGTGATATATTTAAATGGATTAGTAATTTTCATTAATAGTCTTTTTGCTTGAAGTAGAAAATGTTCTAAGTTCATTTTTCTATATACTTTTTTATGTTAAGAACACTTAAAATCTACTTCTTAATAAAATTTGTTCCTTAATTGCTATAGGAAAAATAAAATTACGTCACTATCCATCGTCTCCAGGAAGGAGACTCAGCCTCAAAGTCATGTTTTTTATAGACACAGGTTAAAGTCCATGTCGTTGTTCAGAGTTATAGTGAAAACTGTATCAAACTAACAGAGTGCCTTCAACTGCTTAGCAGCATTAGCTATCCTAAACTGATAGGATTCATCAGTTCCTAAGTCTGAAAAACATTCTGTGGTGAGCCTGTATCTCCCCAGCAGTACCTTTACGGAAGTCCTGGGCCATAGGCTGAAAACTCAATACTCCCCAACAGCTGAAAAAGAGGAAACAGTGGGGAAGAAAATCACATTTTCACATGAAAAATGATGATCAACTGCGATCCTCTGCCAGCCCATGAATTTCAAATGGGACTCCATTTTCAAATGTATTGTTTCAGTCCTCATCAGCCAGGAGAAAGAAGCCATGGGAATTAGACTTCACAAGCACTTCTTCCTGAATACCCAGAGGGGCTGTAAGTGAACTTTCATAAAACTTGCACCCCAGAGTACAAAGAGAATACAAATAAGTCTTTTTTTTTTTTTTTTTTTTTTTTTGAGAGAGGTTTTTGCTACAGGGCACATGCGCTTGCCAGACAGAAAGAGACAGAAAGTGAGAAAAAGTGAGAAATCATGCACCAAGAGAGACGGCCATGCTGCAATCTCTTCTCCTCCATTCTTCTCTTGGGATCTTGGGCACACACGCACACCTGCCCGGTATGAGTTTAAGCCACCGGGTCCAGGACTCGAACCACAGTTGGCTACATGGGAGTCCAGCGACATAGCCATTACGCCAACTGCTGGTCCCATAAATCAGTCTTTACAGCAACACTAGAAGCACACTAAAGGGTGGCTTGTAAGCATCTGGTTGTTAAAGACTTGGGCAAGGCTGGGATTTTCAATACATTAAAAGTTGGGGTGTCAACTGTGCTGGAGGGAGTAGGAGTTCTTGTGTATACCCCTGGGTTGGAAGTAGATGGACTCACCTATTTCTCATGCCAGAGAAACATCTGGAGGGCAAGATCTTGCTTCCTGTAGCTTCCTCAAAAATTAGAACCTATGACAATTCCACTCAACCCAAAACTTCCAAATATTTGTCTCCAATGAATCCCAACAGGAAAAATTGTCATGGGGTTACTCTAGCTAAAATAGTTTAATCACCCAGTTTCTAAATAAATAACCTTGTGAAAGTGCATGGTTAAGTAGGACGACTACAGTTTTCATTTTGTTTTTGTATTTTTCCATCTGGAGGGTAAACATGTCAGAAGGGTATAACGAGTCAGATTAATGTCTTTAAAACAAATCCTATCTTACTGAAAAATCGATAATGCTCACTTTTTAATCTAAAAAAAAAAATCTCTCCTTGTTAAGAAACTGTAAAATCTAAAAATACCCACTTTAGATGATTGTGTTTATGTACCCAGATCCACAAGCAGGATTGTTGGATTGTAGTCTGTGGTGCCCTCTGGTGGAAAAGAATCAATATCATGTTTCCTAATTCTTGAAACCAAGTGTCAGTTTTCAAAAGAAACCTAGATTCAGTTCAGGCAGTTTTGTCCTACATTTAAAAGGTTGCCAGGAAGTTAAAGCCAGTAGTGTGTGTGTGTGTGTGTGTGTGTGTGTGTGTGTGTGTTCTAATGACCAGAAAGTCACTTACTTGTGAATACTCCTGTTTTTCTGTGTGATTTGTCCAAAGTATGATATCCATAGATAGATTTTTGAGATGCCCTATTAAAAAAGTCATCAAAAAGAATTCAAAGGACCCCAAATTCTATAGTTTTATCATTAGTATTTGATAACTTACTTTCATGGCTTGTTTAGTGCTTTAACCAAATAATCTAAAATTGAATACCAATAAACACAATACCTATTTAAATTAATCCATTGGAAATAACGATGTATAAGTAGACAAATAAAGCAACAGCAACAAAAATATGACATATTGTAAATATTTGTAAGCTTTATTTGCATCCAATTTGCCCATGTTCACATTTGTACATTGAGGCTCTATCAATAAATAATATTTTTTTAAGAGGAGAGACATGCTTTGAAAAATAGAATATTTATTTCAACTCCAAAAATCAGTCATTTCTCTTCACAAAATGACATCTCTGGGACACATTTTTAAAAATACTTCTTTCTTCTTACCCACCTAAGAGAAAATTATCTATTCTCCAAAATCTTTGAACTTGATCAGAAGAGATTCAACAGTATGTGACATCCTGAATTAGCTTGGAAATGCAAAGTATGTCTTTGAGAGTGAGGAGATACTAAAGAAGCTTAGCCAAACACAATGAGAAATATTTGAGGTCAATAGAACAAAAACATTGAAACCTAGGAAAAAACAAGTTTTAGTAAGAAGATATAAAAAAGCTGTCTTAAGAGTCTGGACAAATAACTTGAGGCTCACAAAGGTGAAGTATTTCAGCCAAATCCCTCAAATGGAAATCTCACTATGGGATATAGAATGCAGGTCTGATATTAAAGTTTGAGCACTTCACACTCTACTAGGAGTTCTCTTCATGAGACGAAGGACTGGGTCATACCTGAGTAGGCAAGCGTTCCTGAGTCCCCATCTGCAAGTATGAATATGCATGTTTCCAGACATGCTGCTCCACCCTGTTGTTTATTTCATAGTGTATGTGCATAAAGAGACAGCCATGTTTTCAACCAGTGTGCCTGTGTTTTGAAAAAGTAAAAGATGATATTGAGAAGGCTGAGGACACGGGCTTACACACTGAACATTTATTGATTTTACCTTCTGCAGTAATTTTAGGGTCCCCCCAAAATCACGTGTTGAGATTTTATTATACTGTCATTAAGAGCGTTAAAATTATATTCTTATTGAAGGGTGAGGCTCTGGGAAGGTTAATGATTAGGTGGTTTGGGCAGGGCTTCCATACTTGAGTCCTGGTGGGTTTAAGAAGAGAAGAAATGAGACACACAGAAAACCACATGGAACACCAACCATACCTTCTCTACACACATCTGGAGCCTTTCAGGTTCGGTTAGACATACTGTGATACAGCCAGTCTGATGCCAGCCTCATCCTTTAGGCTTTCCAACTATCAGAATCATGAGTCAAATAAACCTCTATTCATAAATCATCCAATCTCAGGTGCTGCTGTAAGCACACAATAGCAAACTTATAAGATCACCCTTCCAGGCAACCAGTATGTCACTGACAGATAAATAGTCACAGAAGATGGTCTTATGCCACTAAATTTGAAAATTTTATAACTAACTCTACTTTTACACCCAGGAACACTTCAGTTGTAATATGGGTACGTACCTATTTCTGTCACACACAAAAGAATCTGATTATATGATCGCAGAATCCAGTCCTCCTAATGGATAATCAGTATAATTTTATTCAATAAATCTTTTCCTTTCATATCAATTTGCTCATTAAATGATTTATTTGGAGACTTCCAGTGTCCCTCAGAATAATGCTACCCAAATATAAATGTGTCCACTTTATCTCCAAAACCTATACAGATTATGCTGAAGAGGAGGGAGAGGATTTATAACCTAATTCCTATAGCATCACAAGGAAAGAAAAACTATGACCACTTTCAATTTACATGTAAGTATTACAGAAACCCATGCCAGGGAAATGAGTCAAACAGATATTATGCAGGAAAGAAGAGGAATGGAAATCTAATGCAATGGAAAACTAATCTCTCAATCTCTCTCTCATTGGTCTGAGGAATCAGCTACCATGTTGTGAGGACACTCAAGTATGAAAAAGTCCTGCATGGAGAAAAACTGAGACCCTCAGCCAACATTCAGGGAGAAACAGAAACCCCTGCCAACAACCACATGAATGAGCTTGAAAGAGCTAAACAGACCTCATTCCTTCGTTCATTACCTATGCTCAGGTATTGTTACAGCAGTAGGAAATGGACTAAAACAACTACCCAGTAGATGTCAGCAATAAATAATTTATTGTCTTTGTTGTTAAGTATTGTTATTTTATTTGACCAGATAGTATTTTGAGATAATACAATTGAACTCTCTTTAAATGGGGTCTTGGTGATACTCTTTCTGGTGGTGAACAAAACACTCATAGATTCTGTTGTAAGCTCACATGCCTACCTATATATGATTAGCATTTATGATCCTGATGAAGACTGAGGCACTGAGAAAGTGAATTTCTGCATTGGAAACCCTGGTGTATGGGAAAAGGATTTGGAGGATTTACCAAGGTGAATACTACATCAATCAGCCAGCCTTCCTTGGCAAATACCATATGTAATCATTTAGATTTTCATATTCCCATTAGTACTTCTGAGCTTCTTTGATTGTGGTAGACTGGAGACATGTTACACATATGTTACACATATAACCATGTAACCAGTAAGACTATTTATCATCTACCATGAAGATAGGAACAAGAAATAGAGTTGCAGGAGATGCAAAGTAACAAAATCTTGATAAATGTTTCTTTCAAAAGTAGCAATTATAGAGGACTTATGTAAAGTAGGAAATTATGTTAAATTCTACAAACTCAGTTAAGAACATGGCCAGTGATTGTGGAAGACTCTAAAACAATAGGTTGAATGGAACATACACCAACTAGAGGAATAAGTAAATGTGCTTTGATAGGAGGGTAATCATTCTTTTTCTTCTTCTTCTTTTTTTTTTTTTAATTTATCTCTTCTATGAGCGAGAGAACTGGCCAACAAAGTCCTGACATTGTGATCTATGCCCAGCCTTTCATCAGTCCTAGATTATGGGCTTGTACATGCCCAGTGAACCCAGGGAAGTCTCCAGACATAAACCAGGAACCCTCCCAAGTGCATAAGCCTTGTAGAGCATCAGGTTTTACCACTGTGCTACCTTGCACCTCCCCAGGAGGATGATAATTCCGAGTGTACGTTTTAGATAAGTAGATAATGTTGCAATAGTTCATGAAAAGAAAGCTTAAAGGTCTGTTTCAGATTCTTGTAACTCTCCCACCCCTTCCCTCTAAGTTTCATCTCTGAATTCAGTTATGTCTTTAGCCAAGTTTTATGAGAAATTTAATTCACCTTCCTTGTTAGCAATTTATGCCAAGTGTATACAGCTCACCTTCTGTCTTTTGCTCCAGAGTTTCTCTGCTCGGCATGCCTCAAAATGGAGAAAAGTTAACACATTCTAGGGCAATCTTCAATGGGTACAGGAGCTGAGCAATGTTTCTCTCTGAAGCTCCTGTGATGGAAAACTCCGGAAGTAGGTTTTAGATGTTCCTCTAGAAGTTCTGGTTAGCTGGAGTTGTCCATATGGTTACCAATTACAAAGCAGATTCTTTTTTCTTCCTTAGTCTTCGATTTCTTTGGGTCTTAACTCCTGCTTCCAGGATTCAACTCTAAATAAAGCACTTGCATACAAGACCATATTACTTGGTTTGGAGAGATCCAGAGTAACCCAGCCATTTAGTAAAATACGCAACCCTTCTTTATAGAGAGAACTTCCTTTGCTTTGATGGTGGTTACCCCCCAAACCTCTTATGCTACATTTTTAATGAAGCCTGCATTCTTAGTGCTCTGCCTGTAACAAGCAAGTGGATAATTAAGACTCCGTACATGATTCTGAGCATGTGTTTGTCTCTGGCTCTTAACATGCTTCTTTCTTTCAAGTACTGTGATTCTTACACAAGCATGCATAAAATAATTATTTGTGGTACTTTCTAAAAATTCATCATTCTGAACCCTTCGTAAAAGTATGGTACTAGAATATCATAGGGTTGTTTTCATGTTCAGCCATAACTGATAACCACTGGTCTGGAGAGTCCAATCTCCTTTCTTGTCCCTGCCCACCACTATCATTTATCTACTTATTAATACTTATTAACCTTCAACTATATATCAATCAAGGTACTAGGGATAAGATAACAAATAGAACTGGGTTTATTCGGGCTCCTAAACTTATCCTGAATGTCACCAACTCCATGAAGCCTTTCCTGATCATTTCTATAAGCTTTAAGGTTGCATTCTCTCAGCAGTTATTAGGAGAGTCATTCCTGATTCTGCATATTAATAAATTTGAACTTGAACTCACCTTACTACAGACAAAGTGCATTGCCCTGAAATGGTTTGCAATTCTATTTTTTTCTACTTCATTATGAGTTCAATAAGTATAGGAATCTGTTGGATATTATGATTTTTCTCAAAGATATTGGAAGGAAGAAGGGAG